ATTTAACAGTTTGAAATAAACCTATTTAACCAGTTTTACATATTTATCTCTCTCTATTTCTCTTTGTCTCTCCAGAGTTTGTGCCATACGTGTTCCAGGTTATGTCTCTGCTGCTAGAGATCCACACTAGCCCTATCCCCTCTTCCTATATGGCCCTGTTCCCTCACCTGCTGCAGCCTGTTCTGTGGGAACGCACAGGCAACATCCCCCCACTGGTCCGGCTGCTGCAGGCCTACCTGGAAAAAGGGGGAGCCACAATCGCCAGCTCAGCTGCAGACAAGATTGTGAGTACCTGTAGTACTGTTGTGTATATAGTTATAATGTAGAAAGTTTTATTTGGGCTTCCAGTGTAGATAAAATCAACAGGTAAGATTCTACTACTGTTTTTAGCTGTGCAACTTATTTTGTCTATTTTTGTAGAGGTCAATGTCAAAAGACACTTATGTGCAAGTCTAACTGAGATTATATAATGTGGTTTGTGGCAAGTGTGTGATTTAGACATGGAGTTTACATGACGTTAATTGGTGAGATATAAACTTCCATTATTTGTTAGCTACATTAGCCGTAGCCACCCAGCTCCAGTGCTGTGGTTCTCTGGATTAGACTGACCTCTGCTGTTGTTCCAGCCTGGTCTGCTCGGAGTGTTCCAGAAGCTCATTGCTTCCAAGGCCAACGACCATCAGGGCTTCTACCTGCTTAACAGCATAGTGGAGCATATGCCGCCGTGAGTGATCAACACCGACTCCGATGTCCTTTTGGTTCAGACTTCACAACTGAGTACCTCCATTGCTGTGTGACTACATATATTTATTCTCTGTTTTAGGGAGTCTATTACTCAGTATAGGAAACAGATCTTCATCTTGCTGTTCCAGAGACTGCAGAGCTCCAAGACCACCAAGTTCATAAAGAGTAAGTATATATTCTACTAAGTAAATATTCTGCTTCTTTGAGTTCTATTGTCTGTATTAAAATTAGATTGTGGCTGATTAATGTTCTCACTGCGTCAGTGAGAACAGTGCTGGCAATAAACTTAATAGGGTTACACTGATACCGATTGCCCGTCTCATGAGGCAATGATATGCAGACCTGCTGACCTTTATGCATTTTATGTAGCAGGCACGCATTTTGACAACAAAGAATACTATGATTTTGTCACTCTAAACTACACCAATAGCTGGTGAGACCTGTGAATTCAGTTGTGCATGGGCAGCAGACCAAGTTGAGTACCAAGATTTGATGATATTGCGATGAGTGGGGCAATGACCGTGTGCTAAGTGAGGTGGGGAATCCCACCCCCACTATTGTGCTGCACAAAATATTTTCCCAAGGTTGGCAGGTTTGGAGACATTTTATTCATGACAAGGAACACAGCTGTGACTAAAATAAAATATTTAAATAGTTGATCTGTGTGAATATCCAAACTTATAAGCTAATTAGGATAGAGTTGTAAATAGAGGTTGTATCGGCCAATATTCAAGGATCAGGTATCTGTATTAGAAGGGAAGAAAGTGGTATCACTAAAACTTAAACTAGGTTACTGTATTTGCTAACATAACCTTTCAGAGCAATTTTGAGATCGTTTAGCTATCTAAGTTTTTCTTAGCTAGTGACATTGCTGACAGCCACCGCTTCTTTTCGAACTGCCGCTCACGCAACGTCACTGGACAGCCGAACGCGCTCGGAGGAAAGCGCCAACCGCCAGATCTGTTACGTCAGCTAACAGACGCCTGCGCTGACTAGCATCGCGTTGAGTGATGGGGGGAGAAGGAGGGGCCATCCTACCCACCCAGGGAGAGCGAGGCCAATTGTGCTCTCCTGGACTCCCGGCTACGGATGGCTGTAGCATCACCAGGGATCGAACTCGCGATCACCTGATGATAGGGCCAATGCTTAGACGGTTGCACCACTCGGGAGCTTTTTTTTTTTTTAATGTGGCCCAGATAAAAAAGTGACTAAATAATTGATTAATCATCAATATGATCTGTAGATTTTTCTGACATTGGTGGAATTGATGTCGTTTGTTGTAGGCCTCTTGTGCTCCAGGCTCTGATTGGTTTGTTTGAGTTGCCTGAAGATGACAGTATCCCTGATGATGAGCATTTCATTGACATTGAGGACACACCGGGATACCAGACGGCTTTCTCCCAGCTGGCCTTTGCTGGCAAGAAGGAGCATGATCCGATAGGAGATGCTGTAGGCAACCCCAAAATTCTGCTAGCTCAGTCTACAGCCTGCCCTGGGTGGGTGAGAATGCCCCCAAAATTTTATTTACTTATTTATTTCTAATTGCTGCATGCACCTTATGCTGCATGAAGGTAACCAGGCTACAGAAAATACATCCAGAAAAACAATTGGGCTGTTTGCAACTGGTATAGGTCTGTTCTCAAGAATTTGAAGTGGGGGAAAAAAACACTTTAATTTTTAGCGTTTCTTTATTACACAAATTCTAATTTGATTCTTCTTTTTCCGGAAGGTTCCCTCCATGCTGAGTACGAGTCTGAATGCTGAGGCGCTCCAGTTCCTGCAGGACTATCTCCAGGCAGCTTCGGTCCAGCTGGTCTAAAGGAGGACTTTAGCTTTCTCTCCGTTTCGTCCCTGGAGTCTGACAAACCGCAGGGGAAAGGAGAGTCACTGTTGAGATTGGGACTGATGTACCTGGACTACACAAACCAACAGACAACCAGTCGACTTGACATCTCACACACATAAGCAGCCACAGGGTTGCCCAAATTTGCGCTGTCATCTGTGAGAGGGTGTTTCAAAGAGTTCTAAAAAAAATGGATTGTGTGTGAAATAATGGACCAAGCAGAGAATAGCAAAGTTATCCAAGTGGTTATGTCCGTTTGGTGGCCAGTCAGCTACCAGTGTGCTGTGTTGGTTATTTGCGGTTGAGCAGGGCTGCTTCAGCGCTCGATTTCTGATCTAGCACTTTAATCCATCTCCATGAATTCGTCAGTCTGCTTTCATTTACAATCCAGGAAGAACAAATCTCCATAACATTGACAACAGTATTGTTGGTGTGAAATGACAAAAGACTTTGACAGAAAACATTTTGACAGTACGAGTTGGCAGACATTTGATGTCTTTACAAATCAATGGGAAGCATTTTGTTTTTCTTTTCTGTAGTTGTTTTTACTGTATGAATAAGGGCTGTCGTCGTGGCACTAAACAAAGGTCTTAGTTCCCCCTACTCCTTCCCTCCTTCTTCTGTGTTGCACGTATCAGTGTTCGTCTGGTCTTAGTTTTAAGGCTTTGTCTAATTGTTAATAAAGAGATGCACTTGTATAATTCTCATGGCTTTTTTTCTAATCTATAATGTAGTTTCTGTCATTTTGCAGGACCGGGACAGATCTGAGTTCTTGAAGCATGTGAAATGGAGCTAATAAATGTGGTTCCACTAATGACAAAACTGGTGGGGTCTAGTTAGACAAAAACTAATGTTAGATTTGCACTGAAATATTGGTTTTGGCTTTTCTATTCCATTGTTTAAATATGAGATTTCTGTCAAATTCCTATTTTCAAATTTCCCACCCCCACCCCCCTTTAAGGGATTTGCATTTGTGTGTATGTATAGCCAAGGTGAGAGTGGTCTTAGCACTCTTGGCCTGAGCCTTGTGGAGTCACTCACACTTGAGTGTGAAGCAGTGTGGATAATGCAGGGAATACAGACCACAGCTTCCCGATGAAATATAGTACGGAAATGTGAGACGGAATGAACCTTTGATGTGAAAGAGGTTGAGAAACTGCGCGAGAGAGATAGAAAGTTTATTTACTTGAAGTGTGCCTCAATCATGCTGACACAGTTCTGTCTTTTTAAGCTTGCCTTCCTGGTGTTTGGTCTGCCACTAAAAGTTACGGGTGACAGGGCCAGAGAAAATTTGTTGCAGAATAGATGATAAGAAAAAGAGGCATAGAAAACTCTTCTGTTGTAGGGGATAAACGTGCATAAATGGGTTTGTAAGCAAATACTAATTTTCTTTAAATATACAACTAAAATAGTCCATCTCTCCTTATTGTTCTAATATTAATAATTTGCTTCTCACTGTGTGATTGATCAGCTTTGACCAATGTCATAAATAATAGTGTTTTATTAGAATATCTAAAAGGGCAACATTACTGTCAGGTCAGTGCACAAGTATCCAGATGGCTGTAGGTTGTATGGTATAACAGGCTACTGTCTACAAATTACTGTTGGCTTTTTTATTTTACCTTAAAATCTTTAAGAAACATTTTACTTTGGTCTTCCACTGGTCCTAACTAACGATGGATGAAGAAGGGGGTTGAGCTGAGGGTGATGTATGTGCTCCACTTGCACAAACATTGCTGTTATAATGTTAAGACATTTAGACAACAGAGGACATATGACAGGGCCTTGATCATCCTGCAGAATACAATTATATTACAATAGGATTTCATTCTAAGTGATTGTGAGTAAAGTACATACTATGACAAAGAATGTATACTAATGTTTAATAATGCAACAATAAGTAAACAAAATAATATGATACACAATCATTAATAGCATTTGACTGGGCTCTTTCAACAACTGGTGGCAGCGTTCTAGATTATTGAAATCTCTAGCCTGCAAACTTTCTTCACAAAAAAGCATGCAAGTGTTTAGCTCCCTTAAGTACTGCTCTATATCATTACACTGAATTGTAAAAAAATCAAGATAAATAAAGACTAAGGCTATCTTTTGCATCCTTATATTTATAGCAAACACTGCAACAGGCTGACTGTGATTAACATGAACAAGTTCCTCCCCAGTATCAAGTTCAATATCTCACAGTTTCAATCTCTCTCGCGGGCAAACTTTAAATCTCTCGCGCAGTTCCACTCTCTCTCGCGCAGATTCAGTGTCTCTCGCGCAGTATCTCAACCTCTTTCGCGTCCTAAAGGTTCGTTCCGTTTCGCGGGGGTGGGGGTGGGGGTGGGGATGGGGGTGGGACAAATTGTCAGCTGGTCTAATCAGAATAAGTAGTTCCACTTGTTGGAAGCATCGCGCTGGGCTGACGGACATGGAAGACTAGCGAGAAGTATTGAACTTCTGGAGACTTTTTCTTTGACCTGTTGCCCCGGATTAACCTCTCGGTAAGTCTCGAAATGAATGACTGTAAAGAGCCGTGCTGAACCGATTCTGCTGTAAATTAAAGAAGCTGCTGTCAGATTCCTCCACAGATCAGCGAACGGGATTCCTCTGGGCGAGACGGTCACATTTGCCGGGTTTAGCTTTAGACTATAGTCCGTTCTCTGCACCTGCATCTACAGACTCGTGTGGGGGGCCGCGCTCTTACCATAAAGATCAAATTTATCATCGGCTCGAAATCTCGTCCTCCAAAATTCTCCCGTAGCTTCGGAGCTCGACGGGAAGATGACACGGAACACGTGCCACGGTACGCCTGGCCGAGTATCCGTGTCTCTCCTTCTCTGGAGGATGGAGGCCAGGGTGGTTTTGAAAGAGCAGCACACGGGGACCCAAGAAGGTGTTTTAAGTTGGGTGTGCTGAAATTTTAAACATCGTATAAAGTTTTTTTTTTGTATAATTTACATCAAACAGAGTGTGTCATATATACCATAACGAGACGAGCTACAACTACAGTGTTTACACATAACTGATACATCAGACCGCTGAAGCACGTAATGTTACTCTTTTACTCACACATACTTACATAATGTCACACATGGATCTTTACTACGCTCATATTGTTATAACGTTCAGATACCTATTATTTATTGTTTTTATTTCAAATGTTATTACCATTTTAGTGGTTGCAATCCAGAAATGAGGATTGCTCGTTTTTATTCCAGGAGGGTGAGTGGGGGGTGGAGAGCCACAGCCCTGCAGAGATGGGCGTTCTCCTTATGTTAAAGAAGCGTTCTGCGAGACTTGGTCATTTTTTTCTCTTGGGCTCCGTCTGCGTTGCAGAGTGTATTTCACTTTTACACCACTGTCGTTAATACAAATCATGCTTTGAGTCCCCCTCACGTACAAGTGCCATAGATATACATACCTAGATATGGGAGGCAAATCCAGCCGAAAAAGAAATTTGAATTAAAACAATAAAATTTAAATGCAAACCTCTTTTTGCCATTTTTTCCCCCAAAACATCTGTGCAAATATCCTGCCAACAATTGAAAATGAAATGAAATACCTACATTTGCAATTACTAGCGGTTGTTTTTAGTTTGCTGAACTGGTTTTAGTGCCAAGCTAGTTTTTATTTTAATCCTATATGCCCAGTGTTCCCAAAAATCATAAAAAATTATCTTCAAATATAATTTATTATTTTTTAAATTAAGTTCAGTAGTATTTTTTAAAATTCTTGTCATGTGTAGTTGCACTACAGCATGCCTGTCATGATTATCTGTGTACCATTGATTTTGTGTTTTAGTTGGAAGGGTAAAAAAAATACATATATAAAAAATGAATATACAGACATACAGTGCTAACATGCCATCATTAAAGGCTATAGTACTGTTACCATTATTCAGTGTTGTGGCCTTAAATGAAGAATGCAGACTGACTTGTTTAGGACTCGAAGATTAGGACTATTGACTTGGGACTCGACTTGAGACACGCCTGTACTGACTCGGGACTTGAATCGAGGCTCGAGTACCTTGACTTGGGACTTGACTCAGGATTTGAGTGTGAAGACTTGAGACTGACTTGTCACTTGCATCTTAGTGACTTGTTCCCACCTCTGCTCTGTAGCACAGTGACAGCAGGAATTATTTCACTATTTGCACACTTACTCAAAGAGTAGTGAACCCCTCCCCATCTTAAATTCTGAAAGACTCTGGGATGCTCTTTTTCTACCTAGTGATGTTACTGACCTGTTGCAAATTAACCACCAGGTGTTTTTTTAGCATTACACAAATTAACTAGCCTTTTGTTGCCCCCCGTCACAACTTTTTTTGGAACGATATGTTGGCATCAAATTCAAAATCAGCACATATTTTTCAAAAAGCAATAAAATTATTTAGTTTCAACATTTGATTTGTTGTCTTTGTACTATTTTCAATGAAATATAGGGTTTAAATGATTTGCACATCATTGCATTGTTTTTTTATTTACATTTTGCACAGATTTCTAACTTTTTTGGAAATGGGTACTTGGTCTCTCTAACAATACGACAATACTCTATAGTCTCTCTAAAGCCTATTTTACAAAACCAATCAACATGTATAATGTTACTTGGCAATTCTACTCAGTCAAACAGAGTATGGTTGCATATTTTGGTAGCAAATATCGACTCCTAAAAAAACACACCAAAAAAAAATACACCAAGCTTTTTTTTTAATTTAAGGTCTGAAAATCTGAAAAAAAAATATTTTGGCCAAAATAATTAGCATACTTTATTGAATATTATTATAATTGATTATAACATTTCAAACTGCAGTTTAATCACCATATTCATATCAATGCATCTGTACATGTCTATTGATTTTTCCCTGTTACGTGATTATGTGAATCAGCTCTGTACTAATATTTTGTGTATGTTTTGCAACACCTGACTTCATTTATCAAAGTGTCTACCTCAGTATGCAAAGCAGGTTTTGCCTTAATAACGATTTGACCACTTTCTTTGCCAAATTATTGTTAAACGGTTTGAGTGCTGTTGAGTGTTGACATCACAACAAGGGGCTAAAAGGTATGGATTTTATCAGCTATTAATTCAGTCTTTATCTAAATGGCAGCAAAAGTTAGAGAGCAAGCTTTTTTATTTAAAATAAGTTACTGCAAACCGATAAAGAATCATGCTCACTTATTTAAAAGAGTTTGAAGTCTACAAGCCCCTAGATGTTTATGAGTAGCTGACAAAGATACGCTCTAAAAAATGCTGGGCTAAAAACTACCCAAGCTAGGTCATTTGGCAACCCGGCACTGGGTAAATATTGTACAGAACACATGATGGGTTATTTTTACCCAGCCTATAATCTTTTTTATATTGAATCATGATTAGAAAGATTTCAATTTTCAAATTATAAGAGCTGCGATTGTAATTATATCTTACATTGTTCAGCATTGTTTTAAGTGTGGAAATTTAACCTAATAACACACAGTTTGTGAACAGGCAGTCTGGCACATTACATGCAGAGTTCAAGCCTCAACTTGGAAAAAACATATGTGCCAGACTTCCTGGTGAAATTAAAGGACTGGCCCATATGGAAATCTGATGTATGGCCATATATAGATATATATTTCAAAATGTATGATTGTATATCTTGTGTAGACATGTGTACGTATCAAATGTTATATATATTTGCATAATAATTTGGACAATATGTATATGGTATACGTCTGGTGGGTGAACACATGCTATGCATAAAATATGGATAATACATTTCAACATAACCCATCAGCCAAGACATGAAATTTTCTTCTTTAGTTTTGTTGTGGAGCCACAATGAGTAGAAACAGTAGAACCTAAAACATATACACAGGCTTCTGTTCTCTCAGTTCCTTTTTTTCATGCCTAGAATGTCTTGGCCTATATTTGAGGTAAATTTGATGTTTCTGTAAACCACTCTTTTAACAAGGGCACCACTCAACCTGTTCGCTTGCCAGTTGCATGGACAAGATTATGCATACTGTTGCTCTCAAAATTAGCTCCATTTTATTTTTAAATTTTTTCGGGCCCAGAGAAGGTGGCAGTGTTTCTGGATCCTGTTTATATATAGTTTCGTCTTTGCATGGTAGAGTGTTAACTTGCATTTGTGGATGCAGTGATGAACAGTTTTCACAGACAGTGGTTTTTAGAAGTGTTTCTGAGCCCATGCAGTGATTTCCACTACAGTGCCACCTGAGGGCTCAAAGATCATGGTCAGTCAATACTGTTTTTTGGAATTGCCCCTTGCATAGAGATTTTTAATGATATTACGTACTGTAGATGATGAGCTCTTTGCTATTTTACGTTGGGAAATGTTATTCTTGAATTGTTGCCTATGCAGTTTTTCACAGAGTGGTGAACCTCTCCCCAACTTCACTTCTGAAAGACTCAGCCTCTCTGGGATGCTCTTTTTATACCCAGTCACATTATGAATCTGTTGTCATTTAACCTAATTAGCTGTGAGATGTTTAGCATGGTATCAAACATAAAATTGGCATATATTGAAAAAAAATGAAAAAAAAAATTCAACATTTTATAAGTTTTTGTGCTATTTTCAATTAATTATAATTGAAAGCCACAACTTTTTTCCAAGTGTGTTTGTATTTCATTTAAATATTTTCACACAAGTTGAAATTCATATGAGACAACAAATACTTGACAAGTGTGTCTCCTGAAAAGTTCATGCTCTCTGGATAGCTCTCTAGTAACACAAACTTGCAGAGTGAAGTAGGAATAAATAGAGAAACAGCGTGACCACTCATGTCACCGCAGTTCTGCCTAGTTTCATGTGTTCAAGGACATTGTGCAAGCAGGGGTAGAGGGGGGAAACTACAGCAAATTATGAGCACCAATCATAAAGTGTATGCAGTGTGGTTAGCTCTACCTGGAAAATCTGCCTGGTGTACTTTTTCTCTGTGACAGTGTGACAGTGTTGTAATATTATATGTTGAGAACGATTCAGAAGAAGAAAGTTTACCCTGTGTCTGCTGCTTCCTTACCACATCCTGTACATATAACTCAAGACTTCATCTTTTGTAGGTCCATTGTGTTAATATAACACAATGAATGCCAGTTTGAGAATTGGAGTGCTCTTGATCGGTAAGTCTGCATTTTCTGTATGCAAATAAAATTCATACTGTCAGTAGTTTTTTTTTCATTTGGTAAACTGAAATGAACTGGTTTTTCTTATGCTTTTGTAATATTGTACAAACCAGCTACCAAAAATATATTCTCTCTCTATATCTGTTCCATTAGTTTGCCTCCAGACAGTCCAGTCCCAACATTTCACTGCCCTCAATGCAGTAGTGAATGACCCCGTAACTCTGCTTTGTGAAATTGTGTGTCTTGGTGACGCCCAGTGGACGATCTTCATCCCCAGCAAAACCGACATTGCTCGCTGTGACAAAGGAACATGCAGGGTTGAAAAAGGTTTTCAGAAAAGATTTGCTTTCTCAGGAGACACCAAAAAAGGGAACATCTCCCTGCTCATCAGATCTGTTGTCTACAATGACGTCGGCTCCTACAGGTGCAGCTGTGATGGAAAAACATCTGAAATAAAGCTAAAGGTTTTTGGTAAGTTCCAACAGGGCTGTTAAGACTTGCAGATTGACTTTCTCAGAAAGAGGAGTGTCAGTCTTAACAGCCAGTCCAAAAGTCTAAGACCTGGTATTTTTTCATTTAAACATGGAAATAAATAAGAGAAAGTTTTAGAATCTTGGACAATCTGACAATTAAAATGAAGAAGTAGTATTTCTAGTTCGCTGTTCAAATTGAAGCAAATTTGTCATTTTAAGGTTTTTGTACAAAAAGATATTTAGAGATTTTTTTTACAGATTGTTTTTTGTCTTATTCTGTATATAGACTTCCATTGAAACACATGTTCAGATGACTCTCAAGTGGATTTGTTCTACTGATCAGAGGTTTTTGCACTAACTTATGGAGTCCATACCAGCTTGAGTGCCTGCTGTAAAAACATTCTACTTTTCACTCAAATGGTTATGCCGCTATCATTCGTAATGAAAATGTTGTAATAAATTAGAAATGAATGCAAACTAGATGCATTTTTACCAGTGGTCTCAGATTTTTGGACCCCAAAGTTTACTGAATGATTAATATGAACTTCACATTAATATGATTAATAAGTTTCTTTGCTCCTCAGTTCCTACAGTCGTGACTGCTCGCAAGCTGGAGAACGTTACCCTGCCATGCTATGGAGACACTCGGCAGGATGCCAATGATGTACAGTGGAAGAGAGATGGCCAAAAGGTTCTGCTGTACAATCATTGGACTAGGACTGTGACTGCTGGTGAAGGCTTTGAAGACAGATTCTTTCTGTCACAAGAAGCCTTTCCAGATGGTGATCTCTCCCTCCACATCACTTCGGTTCGCCACTCAGATGCAGGATTGTATCTGTGCAGCATCCATGATGAATTCCGTGAAGGAGAACCTCGCGCTGTCCTGCTGAAAGTGGAAAGTGAGTTCACTTTATACTCACTTTTTTTTTCTTTTTGAACCCTTTAGGCACACAGTGAAATACTCGTGGTGTTAATTCCTACTATTTGAATCATACCAATAAAACATTTCATTGCTTTTTTTTGTCAAATTAGTCATAATGATCATTAATTTTCTACAAGCCAGTTGAGCTGGTCGTTTACAGTAACTCTTTATGGACACTGAGAATAACATCCGAGTAGCACAGGTTTACTGTTGCAACCACAAAAATGAAAAATTGTAGCTGTAACAATCCATATGCTTGTGTATTAAATAATGAAATTTGTCCTTTAGATATCCGAGCAGACTGGGAATAGCATGTTTCTAACAGCCAGTGAGCTGCAGAAACCAGCGCAGAGCTGTTATTACCTTTAATACGATTCTTTACTGCAAGATCACATGAGTTTTAACAAGACTCACAGATATTCATGAAAGCATGATGGTTATGTTATAACTTTGTCATGAGAAGAGAGGAATCGGTAACAGGGTGTCTGTGTTCTTTCTTACTGACCTTTGACCTTTTGCCTAAACGACTTGATTTCAGTGCGTAAACTGACGTTTTTTATGTCATTATGTCTCATAAAATACAGATGCCTCCTTGTAGATATAGGTTCATTAACATGCTTGTTGCAGTCACCTTGAATAATATGTACAGTTGGAGATGGATCTGTGATTCCCCCCTTCGAATTTGAAATGTGTGTAACTGTTCAGTAGAGCAGCCTACGAATCCTGTACACATTTATGTATGGTGGGACTGGTTAAGCCATGTCTTAGACTAACTTTTACGTAAAATTACATTGACTGGGAGAGACTGGGATTCATGTTAGTAGCTAATGCCAGTAAGAATACATCCAACCCAAAATGCAAACACTGTTAGCATTTGCTAAAGCAGTGTGCTGTGGCTGTCTGGCAATCATACATCATATAGGTACCGCATTACAATAAGACTTTTATCAAGGCTTTATGAGTGGTTTAAAAATAGTTTATCAATAGCTATTAATTTGGTCATAAATACCTTAAAAGGTGTTATAACACATAAATAAAAAAGGGAATAGTGAGCTCTTATATCTGATGAATATGAATGTCTGATGAAGCTGACAGTTATAATGTTGATGGATGGAGAAGACAAAGTAAGATAAATAACCAATAAGAGATTAAACTGCATAAATATTTATTTGGCAAACAACAGGTCACTGCTGCCCTTTTATTTGTGTTATACCTGCATTTATGTGTTTATTACCTAATTATTAACCATTAGTTTTTTAGAAATCTGACCTCTTTTTATAGATGCTCAACTCCTGGGCAGAACTTCAGCTCAGATGGTAATCAGCTTTGATTTGGTGTATTTATATACATTCAGTTTGTTTCAATAACCATTATTATTTTGGGCTTTAATTGCTGACAAATATAGTATTTGTGACTTAGCAAACTGAGTTGCAATTTGAGCTCTATAAATAAATGAATAAATAAAAATTCGCTGGAGTTGGGACCGAGTGAGCAGTGAATGAAATGACTTTGTAAACTGTGTTCTCTAAATGCTTATTGTATTCAAGCAAGGAAAACATTGTTCATGGTTTGGTCCAAATGGAGTATTGCTGTTCAAACTGTTAAGACGTTTGAACTCTTGTTAGCCATTGTAAAAAAGGGCAGTCTTGTTGTAAAGTACAACCAATATATGTCCAAAAGAACATCAGAAGTAAAACTAGAGATTTTCAGTAAGTGCTGTTTCCATTATCGAAAAAAATGATGTTGATGTGTGTCTTATTAGGCCTGTAGTTAAGTGAACTAAAAGGCAAAGTCATTAATCAGTAGAAGAGGAGAGCGTGAATAATCACGAATCGCAGCTGTGATGTTATTTGTGATGACACTTCTCCTCATCTTCTGTTGCTTATGTTGCCTCTTAGTTCACTTAATAATACTTGACCTTAAGTGTTCTATTGCATTTATTCAACACTTCTGCAAAATAAAGAAAAAAGTAAAGCCCCAAATTTTATACTGACTGTGCTGAACATTTGCATTTCCTTCCTGCAAAAAACGTAGTACCTGCTGTGTTACTGATACAGACATTTAACTTTTCAGTCAAATTGTACTGTTAGTTTCTGGCTAATTCCAATTTGTTTAGTTCTTTGGCTGTCACAGCTGTCAACCGAAAAGCTTGCTAAGGGGCAAGGTTTGGAATCTGATATAGGTCTGCTGTCACTTTCTTCTTCAGAATCTCATAAATGAGCTGCAGGTCAAATATTATCTCACACAAGTTATCAACTGTAGTCATTTTCTGTTTTTATATGTGCTAAAGTAGAAACATAATGGTTAGTTATTGATGTACTTTTCTTCCTTCTTCCCCAGGGGGCAGTCGACAAAGGTACCTTGATGCCATCATCATACTGGTTATAGTTCTTGGATTGGTCATTTTTTTGTTGGTCATTTTTAGTAATTTACATAAAGTACATACAGATACCCCAAAAGACACTGCTGCTTCCTTGTCCACCAGCTCCTCTCCTATATGACCTGGAAATGAATTTCCGTGGCGCCCATCTTGCTAATTGGGACGTAACAGAGGAGACAAAAAGAAGCTGCTCCAAACACCTGCCAAAGTGTCTTTAAGTGGAGGAAATTTGTTAATGGTGCAGCAAAGTCTTTAATTCATTCACTCTCAGCAGAACATAGCCATTTGCTCATTTATCTAAATGTGGTAAAGCAAGTTCCATGTTGAGCCTATTAAATAGCCATTTAAGCTGTCTGTGTACTAACAAAAAACAAAGTAGACGTGATCCTGTCTTGTATGTAAATAAATCATTGACTTTTAACAGCATGCCTCCATGCCCTGTGTAAATGCGCATTAGTTGTCACAGACCCCATTATAGACGAGTTTTAATGGCGGGTGTAAAACATCATACCAATTATTAATACTTAAGCTGCATAACCACTAAATAAAAGCTTGTAATGTCTCAGAACAGTGACCATATTAGTCAACATGATGATACATATTGCTGGCTGCACCCCAGTGTAAGATTTTAGCTCTAGGTATACTCTTTAATTGTCATTTTCAGGTTCATGGCTCTGTGAAATTCTTGTCTGACACAAGTGGCATACCAGTGCACTAAGTGCAGCAACTTCCACTGTCCTCTGTGTCCAAAAGGCTACTGGTCATCTGGTTTTACATGGGCATAAGCAAATTACTTATTTGTGCGAATTACAGATTTAAACATTTATATAACACAACTAAATGATTATTCAGTTGTCTGAAATATTTAACATAGATTGTTTGTTTTCTAGTTAAATGCTTACATTAGAAAATTGTATGATTGTTGACACTTTCTGTGTTACTCATTTTAGAATTCAGAATATTCAAATGTCACCTTGCCGGCCGTGAAAAGCCACATTATCATTGTCGTAGCTGTGGCCAAACAGTTATAGGAAGAACAGACTTTGCAAAACACATCCTTAAACATGAGAAAATGCATCAAGAACAGAAGGACTTGCAACAATCTACACCAGTCAAAGAATGGGAGGACCTGACACAGGCAATCCTGGCCCAGCATTCCTCAGTTCAAGATCAGGGAAACCTTCCACAGCCCACTCCAACAGAAAGTCAGAAATCGGACGCTGTTCCGTGGGCGTGTGACTGAGCCAAGATTTTTGTCTATGACAGAGGAAGACTGCCAGAAAGCCCTTAGTGAAGTCTTGAAAGGAGATGGCCCAGAGGCCAGAGAATCCTTTATTTTTGAATACAGAGAGGGTATGGAGCTATTTTTGCAAGCCTCTCTTGATGAGCAGAAGCTCATTACACAGTGCCCCTTGCCATGGACTGCCTGAGGTACGGACACTGGACCGCAGTGCGCACACTGCCTGAGCTTTTGTTTCAGACTGTATTTTATATGTTGATAAACAATTGAAGAAATAATATTAATTTATACGTTATTTTTTCACTCACGGATTTGTTGGTCCCTTATGTCTGTCATTACCAGATCTTTATATTTAAAGCAGGTGATTTGTTGTATATTGGTTCTAGTGGTTCTAGAGTGTTTTTTTTTTGTTTTTTTTTTACAAAGACAGAGGTTTGTATAGAGTCCTTATAATTACTGTTTTTGGTAATGTAACATTGTTGTACATTTAAAAACTACATAAGACTATTGAGTGTTTTCATGTGATTTTGAATAGACATTATCATTGTGTGTGGTGAGATCAATGAAAAACATGGGAAATAATGAGGGTAAACATTTGAATATATTCTGACCACTTGAAATGAGGATCTTAAAGTAAACTTCCTTTTGTTGAGGGGTAGAAAAAAAAAATAGGTTCTCACGTGTTTAGAAGTATTAATATCAAATTCTTTCCAAATACAATAATGATTATTTATATTAGTGTAGCATTTTCCAGTTAAGACATTTGTGAAATGTTGGTAGGTGTTTCTGATAAAAGGTCGTGCAAGTGCACGTGCAAGGTAGGTGGACTTAATACAGTACATACCAGTGCAAACATCAAACTTACGTTTATATACACACACATAAATAATATATATGAGGACGACCCAACTGTAGTAGGTGCTTGAGTATGCGCTTTTACTGCATCCGCCCACAAACGCAGAGTTACCAACTCTTTCCCAATGGACATACTTTTTTTCACCTAAAACTGAAAACTTTGGCAAGAAGACTTGGACTTCGAGAACTTTTGAAACCTGTTGCTTAAACAACTCTGCACTTAAGTGGACTTACTGCAGGTAAGTCTTTAAAACCATTTCACTGACTGATTGCTGTAGAAGAGACGCTGCTGCTGTAAACATGTAATGCATAAAACACAGTCTCACACAGAAATCCTGTGTCTGGAGGAAGTTCATTTTGTATAACGTTATATTCTCCCATAGCATTAAAACATCATTATAAGTAAACATGAAACTAAGTGTTTTAAATGATGTATGGATGCACCGATATGGGAATTGTGGGCCGATGCCAATATCCGATATTTTTCATGTAGGCAGATATCTGCAGAAGCCGATTACATTTATAAAATGTAAAAACTGAGAACAGAGCTACCTGGATAAGCATTACAGAGAAATATAGCATTCTGTATGATTGCAAATGCTATAAGGTGAAGAAAATGTAGGCATTTTAGCACAAGTAGCCCAGCATCACAAACATTCGGCTCTTCCAGAGCACAGAAATGTCATCAAATATTGGTTTGAAATATTGGCCAAATCTAAAAAAAAAATACAAATTTTATTATATAGCAATTATTACATAGCAGTTATTTGCTGATCCCAATATTATTTGATGATAGCATTCCCAGATAGCAAGCATATATCGGTCTGCTGACTGTATGCTTTTGTCAAACTGGACAAAACAGGACAGACAAAGAACATTTAACAAAACAATAAACAGGGTAATAACACCCCCTTCCCTTTTTTCATGCTATAATTCAGCAGATTTGAGATTTTGAGCCTTGATTTTCTGCTTTTTTTTAAATGAAAAGTTGTTAATTTGTGTACAGCATGTGAAAATTTAAGTAAGGCAAATTAAAAATGCCAGCAAAATAATAACACAAGCTTACAGAATGATGCAGGCAGGGTGGAAAGGAAAAAAAAACACACAAAGCTCTTTTTCTGGAGTCTATTCACCAACTTCGTGTGTTCAAGGACAGCATTCAGGCTAGCTTGAAAAGATACCTGAAACTCCTGGGCACTAAAGAAATGCAGCGGCTTTGTGCTACTGTCACTGCAGTCATGATGTTTGTGTGGTGTGAGTTAACTCAACAGTCAAAACTGGTGCAATGCTCTTTGAGTCACAGGGGCCAATCAAACTGAACTCCTTGTGCACCTATCAACAGTGTTTTTTCCCATGACTGTAGTGCAACATGGAAACATTTTACATTTTCCTGGGGCACAACAATGTTAATTAGAAAAGGTACCAGTGTAATTTGTGAAACTTATAGAAAAAGAGTCACAATGGAATTCCACCTCTGGAAGTTCTCCAGAGTCAGGTTTTTTGGGTAACACTTTATTGTAGGGTACTGTTCATGAGGCTACATGTCTCTTTGTCATGACAACTGACATAACCCTACATAAATGCTTACTTCAATAGACGTCAATTGCTATAAAGGTTACATTTGCCAACTTTGATCAAAGTTAGCCAAAGTAGCCTTTATGACAGATGACACCTATTGGAATAGGCATTTCTAAACATTTATGTAGGATTATGTCAGTTGTCATGACAGGCTTATGTAGATGACACATAGCCTTAGAAACAGTACCCTACAGTAAAGTGTTACCTTTTGTTGTTCTATTCAGATACAACATATAATAAACTTGTAATAACACAGATTTCATCTTTGTAGGTTCACTGTTTTAATATAACACAATGAAGGTCTGTTTGCGAGTAGGAGTTCTCTTAATCAGTAAGTCTACTCTTTTTTGTCTTTAATGCATATTAAATCTATCCTCTTAGACCTTTTAAATGATAAAGTGAAATAATAGCAATCACTGTTTTTTTTCTGCATTTGTACTGTTGCAGTTTTCCTCTTGGTATTCAAGTCTCACGCTTTCACTGCCATTGACGCAGTAGTCGATGATCCTGTGACTCTCCCATGTGGAATTGTGTGCCCTGGTGATGCCAAGCGGACCATCTTCATCCCTACTAAAGCCGACGTTGCTCACTGTCACAATGGAACATGCGTGATTGAAAATCGCTTTCAGAAAAGATTTGCTTTCCAAGGAAACACAACAAGAAGAAACATCTCCCTGCTGATCAGGTCCGTCGTCTACAATGACATTGGCTACTACAGGTGCAGCTGTGATGGAAGAATAGCTGAAAGTAAAACTGAAGGTTTTCGGTAAGTTCTCCTTCCATTAGGACTTTTAATCTATTTTCAGCAAGAAGAAAAATGCCTTATAGTAGTTACCTACTATAAACGAAGTCAATACAGCAGAAGCTAGAACAGGCCAGTTGCCACTTGGGAAGTGTAGCATTTACTACAGGAATAATATGAAATCATAAGTTTCTTTGTCCCTCAGTTCCTACAGTCGTGACGGCTCTTGCACTGGAGAACATAACCCTCCCATGCTATGGAGACACTCGGCGGGATGCCAAAGATGTACAGTGGAAGAAAGATGGCCAAAAGGTTCTGCTGTACAATCGCTGGAAAGGGACCATGGCTACTGGTGAAGGCTTTGAAGACAGATTTGTTCTGTCAAAAGAAGCCTTTCCAGATGGTGATCTCTCCCTCCACATTGCTTCGGTTCGCCACTCAAATGCAGGATTGTATCTGTGCAGCATCCATGAGGAATTCCGTGAAGCACAACCACGTGCTGTCCTGCTGAAAGTCGAAGGTAAATCAAGGGAACGATGTAAACCTTTATGTGGGGGTAATTAAACCAATTCTTGGAAAACAATTTGAACTAGCCATTTCAGACAGTTGCCTATTCATTCTCATTGCTTACAACTATGCATTCGTGAACAGCTTGTTTCTGTTTTCCCCTGCAGAGAGCAGTCAATGTTGGTGCCTTGGAGTGGTCATAGCACTGGCTGTAGGCCTAGTGTTGGTCATTTTCCTCACCATTTATTTGTGCTTGAAGACCAGGAACAGCAGTGCTCCTGATGGGACAGCAGTCACCAATCCTTCTCAACCTGTTCAGGAGCAAAGCCACCTAATACATAATACAGCCTACGATTCACGTCAAACTATGGACCCCAAGAACTCTTCCACCCGGCCTTTCTAAGAACATCTCTAAAAACGTTTTACACACACAATCTAGGATACAACTTGTTTCTCCAGGTCAGATTTGTTCAACCAACATTTATATTTGCTTTGCAACCCAATTCATATCTGATCTCTGGACAGACAAAACTGAGCAGTCAGCTTTTAATGTGCTTGTCATTTGGTACATGCCCCACTTCAGTAAGGATATACTCCCCTGCACTGTAACCATGACATTTATAAATGAACAAATGTCTCAAGATACAAACTGGCTTTGGTCAAAAATTATGTGCTGACTTTGTTCTTGCTGTAGAAACAAATCCTTAGTACTGTCATCTCTATATTCAAACTCATTAAACATTGTGGACAAGTGTAGTAAAGCAGCAAGCCTGCCGTTCTAGTCCACATTCCTATTCCATTTAGGGTTTTAATGGACTTTTTACTACAAATTATGGAATTTTTAAGCCAGCTGTGAATGCTTCTATTTTTTTTTTCGTCACTTAAATTGTCATTCTTGCTGTTACAAAACTAGTTTTACCTAGATACATTTCTTTGCTGCAGTTCAAATTTTATGTAAATATCCTCCATTATTAAAAACAAAGTAAAAACGACAATTAAAGAACCAAATCCTTCAGAGTGTTTTATTCTTTCACAGAGCAAATAAGACGTTTCCATGAGCATTTACAATAAACACACTTCAGCTTGGAGAAACTGAAGTTTGTAAATTTTACAATTTAAATTTAGTTCTTAACTGAACTCTGCAGGTCTTTACACAGCACCTTTGACTGAACAGAAGTGAACTGCAGTTGTTAGTAATCCACACCATGCAAGACATGAACCAGGTATGACTTGTTGCTTTCCTCTACATGATCGACAGTTACTAAACCATCAAAACAAGTTCATTTGCACAACACGGCATCTGGTGACTTCAGTTGGGACGTTATATCCAGAGTGGTCCTAGAACAAGGAACAAGGGTTAGAGCTCCCGACTGGACATTGAACTTTCAAAACACTGATACTGGTTATAGAGCTTAATCAGAAAGATACCTTTGCATGTCTCCATATTAAGTCCACCGGTGTGTTCCAGCTACATTCTTCAGCTCAGAGCATGCAGCAGCCTAATGAGAGTTGGGACAACAGTTAGGGACACAATAGCACATTTGTTTCTAAGAAGCATGATAATTGGTGCATCAGAAAATTTGGCTTAAGAATACAAAGCAGTCAACAGGGTCGATCTGCTGGGGAAAAAAGTCTGGTCATCCTTTACACCAGTTTAACGCAGGGGTGGAACAACAGCCATCAAGGGTCACTGCACCAAAACTAGACCATGCAGTGTAGTGTCCCTTCAAAGGCTGAACCAGTCACCCCTATCCAAATAGAAGCAACCTGAAGTATGTGATAAAATACTCACCCAATTTGATTATATGAAAAAGCCTTTGGTCTTCCAAGACTCATCCATGTGGCCTCAAAATCTAGAGTCAAGAAAAAGAAACAGTATGAGGATCAACAGAAAAGCAATTTGGTGCACAGTTAACACTACTGATGGCTCAGACATTTTGGCTTAGTTTTCTAAAACGTCAACAGAGTCGATCTGCTGGGGAAAAAAGTTCAGTCATCAGCGCCAGTCTAAAATTCAACACAGGCATTCAGCAGAGGAAACTGATCCTTCAGTAATCCTTGCCTGGTTTAACAGTGCTAGAGTCCTTTAAAGCTTCACCAAGTACAAGTATAACTCACCGGCATGCCTGATCCTAAAGGAGGTTCTACACAAATGAGGGCCGCCATTATGAGCGAGAGAGCAGACCGTGTGTTGCCTGGAAAAGACATACAACCACAGTCATAATCTAAACTCTCAAAACATTTGCTGTATTTATAAAATCTATAAAATAGAGCTAATACTACCTTTATAAATGCTATTAACCAAACTAGCTACAGCTTAAGAGAAAATAAGTAGGCAGCTGCCACCTTTGCTCACTTCTGCTGCTTCATATCAAAAAATCATTACAAAGTGTTTTCATATTTCAAGCCTACAATCTACCCAAATTTTGTACACACCATCTCAAATCCACTTTCTAGAATGTTTGAGCAGGAAATTTCCTGCAGTCTGAATAGCAAAAAACAAGACAGATCTCTTAAGATTCAAGCAACATTTCAATATCTCTAACATGATTAAAGTAATTTTGACATGTGACAGTTTGACCACTGGGCTCAAGTTTGTTTTATTTGGCACATGCTGACATGCAAGACCAGGCAAGTATCCCACCCTTAACAGCACATGTACCTCAAACAAATTTTATCTAAACCTGAATTAAAGCATCATTAAAGAAAAAGGCTGTTCACAGTGGTTTCATTCTTTTACAAAAGAGGTCACGTTTACATCTTGTACTGTACAACTTTGAGACTAGAAAAGTAAATGAAGTTCTACTGTACTCAAGTTAACAATCCAACTCTGAAGTCTGCAAGAATTGGCTGTACAACCTTTGACTACACTGAGCATGAATTGCAAATGATTTAAAAATAGTTTAGACCGTTACATATGATGTATTACTGTCCTCTAAACATCTATAGGGTCACCCACTCCTCAAACCATCCAGATCATAAATTTGACCACCAGTATCTGGTGGCTTCAAATGAGAAGTCTTATACAAAGTGGAACAAAAACAAGTTAAAGCTCAGTACTGAACACTTAACTCCCCAAACAGTTTAAAAAGCTTGTAGCTTGGGCAGAAAAATACCTCTGCATGTGTCCATATGATGCCCATTGGCATGTTCACACCAGATTGTTCAGATCAGAGCACGGTGCAGCCTAGTGAAAGCACAGACAAAAAGTTAGGACCACAAACGCACACTTGTTTTTTTTAAACAAGTTATAATAGGTGCGTCAGAAAATTTGGCTTAAGAATACAAAGCAGTCAACAGGGTCGATCTGCTGGGGAAAAAAGTCTGGTCATCCTTTACACCATAGTTTAATGCAGGGGTGGAACAGCAGTCATTAAAAGGTCAGTGCACAAAAACTAAACCAGGCAGTATGGAGGCCCTTCAAAGGCTGAACCAGTTACCCCTACTCTAATATAACCAGTGATCGAGACTGTACTCACCCCTTTGATTATCTCAAAAAGCCTTTGCTTTTTTGGACCATCATCCATGTGGCCTCAAAATCTAGAGTTAAGAAAAAGAGTTTGAGGATCTCCAATAGAAAAGCAATCTGGTGCACAGTTAACACTACTGATGGCTCAGACACTTTGGCTTAGTTTTTTCTGAAAAGTCAACAGAGTCGATCTGCTGGGGAAAAAAGTTCAGTCATCAGCGCCAGTCTAAAATTCAACACAGGCATTCAGCAGAGAAAACTGGTTTAACAGTGCTGGAACCCTTTAAAGCTTCACCAAGTAGAGGTTTAACTCACCAGCAAGCCTGATCTTAAAGGAGGTTCTTCACAATGGACGGCGGCCATTATGAGCGAGAGAGCAGACCACGTGTTGCCTGGACAAGACACACAACCAGTCATAACCTAAACTCTCAATACTTTACTGTATTTAGAACTGTAAAATAAAAAGCTAATAGTATATTTATAAATGATATTAACCACATCAGCTATAGCTTAAGATAGAATCAGAAGGCGACTGCCAACCTTGGATTAACTTAAGCCAAAGAACGAAGCTGAAGCCGGCTTGTTCGAATTTTTCCGTTCCACCTTAAATGGAGTTCCAGTTAACAGTTACATTCATGCGCCTGAGGCAAATGTTCTGGGCGCCAGAATGTAACTGCTGCTCCATTTAAGGTGGAACGGGAAAATTCTAACAATCTGTAGGAAAGAAAAACTTCTGCCTTGCAGCCAAATAGACGTTTCAGCAGAAAAATACTTAAAGTGGAACTGATAATGTTCACACCTACAAAGCGTCGTAACTTTCAACGATTAAACATATGAAATGAGCCAAATCGCAATAAAGAAATACACCAAATACAGTAGCTACCTATCGTGTTCAGGAAATACAACCAAAACTGCGCAAATAAGATGTGTGGTCAGCAGAACTTCTGTTCAATACGTGTTCTTGTCGAGTTCACTAAGAGCTGATAAGTTTAAAAAGAAACAATGTGCAGAGGAAACTGCCAACTCACCTCACTGCGGCACACAGAGACAGCCGCGCGTGCTCCGAACAGTTTTAAAGCATGTGAATGGTTGCACATGCGCACTGTGAACGCTGTTCGCTTATGGTTAGTGTAGTTTTTGATTCAAGAGTCAAGTCAAGAGGCTTTTATTGTCATTCCATCTATGTACAAGTACACAGTGGAGTGAAATTACGTTCCTCCAGGAACAACAAGGTGCAACAAGAAACAAAAAGTACACAGTGCGAACGTGCAGACATAAGTGTGCAAACAAAAAATTAAGCTACAACAATTTTATTGTATTGTAAGAAACAATACAACAACTACGATAAATTAAACAGACATTAGACACAGTAAACAGACAGGACAGTGCAGCACCAACACAGCACTCATTTAATGGCAGTTAGCCTACATAATAGACTTAAAGGGTATTTCCACCCATTTTTTTTTTCCAAAATTTCTGAATAAACCAGTCAAGTCATTCCAGACTGGTTTCATGTGAAATGGTTCATTGTGACTTTGTGACATTGTGACCTCTTTTTTACAGTGGTGATGATAGGAACCAGGAGTCACCACGTCTACAGTGCAAGTGTAGCCAGTTTATTTATTATCTAAAACTACTAGTGAACCTACGCGTGTCTTCTGAGTTTTTGCATGTTATGATGATGATGGTATAATAGGTATAAATCCGACAAAAATAAGTTTTCTTTGGGGTCTATTTTGCCTTAGAACATCTTTTATGCATGCCTCCACTATGAATGGATTATAATAAATTGATTAAACACATTTTAGGCCAAAACATTGTCACAAAACTGTTATAAAACATTGTCTCAGACCTCAGGCTGAGTATTCTTAGCCAACTTAACATAACCTTCTGTGAGGGAGCTTTTAGAGGCAGACATCTGGTTCCTATCACCATCACTGTGAACAATTCTGACTCTGTAAGTTTCTCTAGAACAGTGCATTTGGCACAAAACCTCTCCAAAGGATTATGTTGACATGTTAACCATTTCATTATGCAAAAATTTTGAAAAATCAGCGAAATTCCCCTTTAAATGCCTTAAGACAAAATGCTTTCATTTACACTGAATAGTCATCAGCATGGAAAATCGACAATGTAGGCTTTTGAATAATAACGTTTAGTTACAATAGCACGGTCTCACTGCTCTTTTGTCAGATAAAAAGTTATTTGTATCATATTTAAAAATTATTTATAGAAATTTAAACTCTTAAAGAAAATGTGTTCCTTAAGGGTTCTTAGTAAAGGGAAGGGCTCTATTTAGAGTCATGAGTTCTGTACAGAACCGTCGGCATGCTTAGATGATTCTTTGCATGATGAAATGGTGATATGGTTCTATATAGAACCTTTTTGAAAAGGGTTCTACATAGCACTGAGAAGTGTTCTTCTACTGTTACGATGTCAAGCTTCTAACATACACTCTTAAAAAAGATGATTCTTTAAGGGCTCTTTAGTAAAGAAAATGGTTATATATAGAACCATGGACACTCAAAGAACCCTTTGCGTGATTAAAGGGTTCTTTGCATTGTGAAAGGGTTTTTCAGATTGATGGAGAATGTGATGAAGATGGTTCCATATAGAACCTTTTTGAAAATGGCTCTATATAGCACCAAACACGGTTCTTCTATTGTTACGATGTCAAGCTTGTAACATGGCAGAATCCTTTTTGGTTCTATATAGAAGCACTTTCAAACAAGTTCTATATAAAACCATATCTGAAGAACCATTTCACCATGCAAAGAACAATTTAAGCTTGACATGGTTCTATACAGAACCTTGACTAAAGCACAAGAACCATCTTTTTAGGGGCACCATCTCCAGTAACCTAATGTCTTTACAATGCCACCTTTTGTAGTCAGGTCCATGATAACAGCCTTTAAACAAAAATCAAGGAAGAAAAGGGTTTTATTGGTTTGACCACTAGGTGACAGTGTAGGCCACGCAGAAAGAGTTTGGCACTTTCACTTTTTACATTTTTTTTTACATATACAGTGTTATAATGTTATCGTTATTCTGTACCGAAGCAAAGTGTGTTGAGTTGTTTTAAAGCCTCTAGATTAGGATTTAAGCACTTGGATTGAATATACTCAACATTTTTTGCAGAAATGACTGAAATAACCCCCCCAAAACTTTACATATTTTTTCTGATGCTCTGCTTTTAAAACATCAAATACATTCTAAAATGTTACTGTATCTTCCAAGAGTCATATTCCTTGTTAAAACGAGACATGCACAAACACACACACACACCATTCCCACTCCCTATAGAGCAATTAGCACCTATTTGTGTGAACATTAACACCTGTCTTGATCTCTCTCAGGTGTTTTGAGGTGACGTGAGCACAGCCAGGGTGGGCCCCAGCTCTTTGTTTCAGCTCAGAATGTCCTGGTGTGAATGAGGGATTATCCCCCATTAGCCTTTGATAAAACAGACGAAGATCCCTTAACCCCCCCCTCCACCTTCGTCTCTCCAATGCAAAGTGGAGTCACTCAAACATGAGAAATTGCAAATGCCCATCTATTTCATTTTAACTTAACACAAGGGCCCAGACCAGAGTAAATATTCTGATATTCTGAACATTTGATGAGTATATCTACATTTGAAAACATGTAATTGCATGATCTAAGCATCTAGATTAGGATATATTGACTTGGATTAAACATACTCAACATTTTTAAGGTCTCAGTATACGGGTATCTTCTTCAAGCCTGTTAGAAAAGCATCTGAGGAAGCATCTTGCTCCACATGAAGTTGCATTAGAGAACTGCAAGAGCATGTAAAGCTGCATTAAAGGGAGGGGGGGGGGTACTCTGAAGAACCTAAAATAGAACAATTGGACGTATTTTAACACTGTATGCTTACATAGACCTTTAATTCTACAGTAAATTACAGTATGCAGGCTTGATGTTGGTACAGATGGTGAATATGTATGTTTTACTACAATCGGTTGGATCCACTTTATTAGAAAACCCCAACCTTGTACATTCACTTACTGGCCACTTCATTAGAAAATATCCCCTTTATTCCAAATATCCAGCCAAGGGCAGCTCTACGGTTGGAAAGTGACCAGGCCTAGAAGATGGTTATGAACAATCATATAGAACAGCTACTCATCAGAAAGGGGTTTCTAATAAAGGTGGCTACTGAGCCTTCTTTTTAACGAGCGTATGAGTTTAGAGATATGTTAAGAAAGGGGGATTTGCGTACACTTGACCAGATAAAAGTATGAGCTGCACTCCTTCAAATACAGGTTCTTTAATGGTTCTTTGCTTTAATATATGGTTTTCAGAAAAAAAACCTTTCATTGTTTTTTAGGTTCTTTATACAACCAAAGCAGCTCCTCTGTATTTTTTTGCCCTAAAGAACCCTTTTTGACATCTTTATGCTGAAGAGTGTGGTTTGTGGTGGTTTAGATGTTTTTAATGTGTTAAAGTGTTGGTGGGGGAAAGCCCATTTTACTTCAGTAATCCACTGAAATGATTAGATTAGTTATGCATCAGGAGGTAGATTCACTCAGCTGATACAAAGCTGGTCAATCAGTTTTCACTTCCTCAGAAGGGCTGGCCGTTCTTCTGATCAAGGGTTGAGATGTTTGTATAGGTGCTAAATCTTCCTGCTTATTCTTGTAACAAAGCAGGTGGCATCAACTCCTAAAGAGGAAAACGGCTGTGAGAAAGCACGCTCTGCAATGCAAGACATTCATCTGCGGCCCTAGAGGCCCAACGTCTGGGAGGGGCTAATTGAGGTGGACGCAGAAAGATGATGGTGAGATCACCGTGTGTATGAGCTAACCAGGGTGTGGGACGATTTTGACCTTTGGGCCCAGTATGGAGCAGCCAGGCCCTGCCAGGCCGGCGTCTCCAGGCTACCGTCACTATAGCAGTGGGAAAGTGTGAGGGGGCAGCGCATGGGCACAGCAGGTGGTAAGCAGCAGGCCCTAGTAGAACGCTGGAGCTGTCACCCGTGATCTCTGCAGTGTCCTTGTAATGGCACAGAAGACAACTGGGGACTTGTCATCACACGTCTGACGTTTAGGTCTTAATCAGTCAGGGGTTAATCCCGGTCAGTGCTGCATTAAAGTGAGGATAACCAATCTGATCTTGGTTTTCATTGGTCCTCTGGGAGTTATATCCACTCAGGTGAATAAGGGTCAAGCAAAATACAATTAAGGCCCCAGCTACACAACTAGTTGGGTGGAAAAACCTCAGCGTCGATGTGGTCAGTCTGAAAGGGAGTGAATGATTTTGGCTTATTATACATAAAAGTAATTTTCAGTGACACTCGTATATAACTTATCTAACCTGTTAAGAAATTATGGTGAAAATTAGTTTGCTGAGATCATCCACACTGGTATTATGGTTAGGATTAGGATTAGGTTTAGGTTTTGGGTTAAGGTTAGGGTTAGGATTACGATTAGGTTTTCGGTTAAGGTTAAGGTTAGGATTAGGTTTAGGTTTTGGGTTAAGGTTAAGGTTAGGATTAGGTTTTCAGTTAAGGTTAAGGTTAGGATTAGGTTTAGGCTAGTATTAGAGTGAGTTTTAGGTTTATGATTAGAGAAGAGTTCAAATAAGGGGGAATTCCACCTATTTTTCAAAATTTCTGCATAATTTAAAGGTTAAGATGTAAATGTCATGTAGAGTGGTTTGATGCAGTTTCAGAGTCAGATTTGATCACAGCAGTGGTGATGGGAACCAGACTTCTGAAGAGTTTATGTGCTCTAAAAGCTCCCTCGTAGAAAGCTATTACAGGAAATTGTTATAAATATGCTATCTGATGCCTGAGACATTGTTTTACCATAGTTTTGAGACACTTTTGACCTAAAACCTATTTCTTAAAGTCCATTCATGGCAGAGAGATACATGCAGGGTGTTGTCAGGCAAAATAGTTTCTAAAGATTTTTTTTCCCAGATTTACCACTATTTTAGCATCATCAACATTACATACTCAGAAGAAAACCCAGAAGAAGCATGCAGATCCACTGATGATTTTGGATAATAAATTTAATAGCTACAATTGCTTTGCAGACATTGCAACCCCTGGTTTCTATTACAATCACTGTGAAGAAATCCTAGCCAGTACGTTTCTCTACAATGAACTGTTTCACATCAAACCACTCTGATTGACTTTGTTTACATCTTAAACACTGAATTAGTTTTTGAAAAATCTGTGGAATCTATCCAACTGACCATCTGTTCATCCAACTATCTACCTATTCAACCATCCATTTATCCAACATTCCTCCATCCATCCATCCATACATCCATCCAACTATCCATCCTTCCATTCATCCAACTATCCACTTATCTAAACATCCATCCATCCATCCATCCATCCATCCATTCATCCAACTATCCACTTTTCGAACCATCCATTTATCTAACCATTCCTCCATCCATCCATCCATCCATCCATGCATCCATGCATATCTATCAATGCCTCCCCCTAACCCCCACCCCTCACCTTCAGCTTTTACCCCACCCATTCCTAGTCGACAAGCTCCCGGATGTGCGCGTGCTCCTCCTCCCTCGTTCCGCGCGCTACTTAAACTCCAGCGCGAGCTCCGGTCCTGTAGTAAACGCGAGGGGACGACTCTGCTGTAGTAGCTGCTCGAGCGCGCGCTCTTCTGCATCAGCCTGCATCATCAATACGGAGTAACCGACTCTTTCAAAACCTCCTCCTCTTCCTCCTCTTCCTCCTCCTCTTCCTCAGCAGTATGCACTCTGCGCTCTTGCTGTTTCTCGCCTGGAGCTGCGGCGTGCTGGCGGTGGCGGCGCGCGCACCGGACAGTCCGTTTCCCGCAGCTGCTGCGGAGCGGCGCGCGGTGCAGAGGGAGATCCTCGCGCTGCTCGGACTGCCGCACCGGCCCCGGCCGCCTTCCCCTCTCAAGCGCACCGCAGCACCGCTCTACATGCTGGACCTGTACCGCGCCGTGCTCGCGGACGGACCGGAACCGCGCGTGCCTCTCCCGCCTACAGAGCACGAGGAGGAGCGGCTCCTGAGCGACGCGGACATGGTGATGAGCTTCGCCAACCTGGGTGAGTAACACTGACCACCAGCGCTCTGTCTGGACATAAACACAGCTCTTACACTGATCAGCCAATGTTTCTACACTCACTGTCCATTTTATCAGCTCCACTGACCATATAGGAGCAATTTGTAGTTCTACCATTACAGACTGTAGTCCATCTGTTTCTCTGCATACTTTACTAGCCCCCTTTTACCCAGGACCACCACAGGGCAGGTATTATTTGGGTGTTGGATCATTCTCAGCACTACAGTGACACTGACAAGGTGGTGGCATGCTAGTGTGTGTTGTGCTGGTATGAGTGGATCAGACACAGCAGTGCTGCTGGAGTTTTTAAACACCTCAGTGTCACTGCTGGACTGAGAATAGTCCACCAACCAAAAATATCCAGCCAACAGTGTCCTGTGGTCAGCGTCTTGATGAAGGACCAACATGACCAACACAAACTGCAGCAACAGATGAGCTACTGTCTCTGACTTTCTACAAAGTGGACCAACAAGGTAGGTGTGTCTAATAGAGTGGACAGTGAGTGGACACAGTTTAATGTTTTGTGATGAAGGCTTTCCGTGAGAGGGGTTCAAACTCATGTGCCTGATCTGAACATATCAGGTGCAGTTTATGTGTTGCAGCATTAGTGCAGCTTTTCTTTAGTTTCACTTGGACTTTTCTGACAATCATGTAGGCTGTGAAAACATTCCTAGATCCTTTATAAGATAAACATAACATAACAAATAATAACAAACTTTTCAAAAGAATAACAGCTGTCGTATAATGAAAAACACATTTTTATTTCTCTAATGAAGGTGATATTAATCATATCCTAGCATTGACATTTCTTGAAAGTGGTCTATAATTTGTTTTGGAACATTTATTCTCCAAGGCTGAGTGTGATTCCTCTTCTCCAAGACCAAATTACAGTCAAACCTTTGAGGAACAAATGCAGAGTGGTTTGCCTAACAGCTTAGTTTTTCTGTAATCAAATTCTCATGTCTTCTTAAGGCTTTGATGGATGGATATGAGTAGCCTACAGGTTCAGAGAATCCATCTTAGTAGTTAGTTAGTGTAATGCGTCCACTGCTGGCATGGATTAAAAGCTAACGATTTGCATTAAAAAGCCTCTGCAGATTGAGATGCATCTGTACCTTATGGCTTGAGTTTGAGTTTCATAAGAACATCAGCGGCGAGAAGAGGATATTACAACACAGCAATGTCTCCAGCAGCTATCTGATTAGATGATATCTCTGTTTGGATTCCTACAGGCATTTCGATATGTCAGTATAGTGGGAGAGTTTTGCCAGGCTTGTGATCTCTTTTAGGGCCTTTTTGGTAGGCACTTAAAATAAGAATATTTTTTTTTGCTTCCTTTGTTTTTTCTCTAAATGAACTTGCTTGCTATGCATATAGATAAAACGTTAGGAAACCATCTGCATATCCGATTTCCAGCAAGCTCCTTCAAAGCGGTGTGGAGGGTTTGAGTAGGCTTTGTTTCGCATGACTAGGATTTGAGGAGGTATTTTCTGAAGTTTCATTTCATTTCACAAAGTTCACCAGGAGATAGAGGGTCAGATACTCTACTGTAAGAGAGACAGCAAGAGAAATCCTGTCTGATAAATAATGATAAAAATTGTTGGTATTTGTAGTAGAAGTAGTGGTACTAGACAATAATAATGGTGGTAATAATACCAGTAGTTTAATAGTACTATATAATAATACCCTTAGTAATAATAGTAATGTCAAATCAAATCAAATCAGATTTATTGTCACATCACAAGAGTACAGGGACACAGGTGAGTGAAAAACTTGAGTGCGAGTTCCACAAATTATGCAGAGAACAGTATTTACACATAGATAAACAAAACTATAGATAGGATAGAAGAATAGATAAAACCAATTTAACTAAAATATATACATATAATCTTACACCATAACTTAAAAATAATAATATTGCACCGAGACATATAATATTGCACTGGGAATGTAGGGTGGGTGTAATCAACTATATACTATATATAGTAATGGATATTACAATGCTATGTGGATGTGCAAATAATCACACTAGGTGTGGAGGTAGAAGATGGTACAGTAGGTGGCAGAGTATTTAGTAAAGTGCAAGGTACAGGAAGGTACAGGAAGTTAATGTGATAGTAGTAATACTGCTGTTTGGAGTAAAACTATTAGAAATAATAGTGGAAATGGTAGATGCAATAGTAGAAGTAACAGCAGTGATAATAAAATACTATATTATACTTGGTCATTATACTAAAAGTAATAATAACGGTAGTAGTAAGAGAAGTACTGGTAAAAGTAATAGTATTAGTAAGAGTAGTAATAGCACTAGTTGAAATAATAGCAATAGTAATAGTTTGCAGCAGTACACATAATTGTATACTATATATAGTCATCCTGTATAGTAGTACTGGCAGTAGTAGCCAAGTATTAGAAGTAGTTGTAGTGGTAATTTTAGTAGTAGCAATAGTATTGATAGCAGTAGTAATAGTAGCATTAATGGGAATAGTAGCAGCAATATAAATGAGAACTGTAGTAGTGGTGATAGTAGTAATATAAGTAGCTATAGTAATAGCAGTGATAATAGTAGAGTTAATACTAGTAATAATAGTAGTAATTAGTAGGAGTGGTAATGGTAGTAGTAGAAAGGAAAGCAATAGTAATAATAATACAGTAGACATTATTATAATAAACTGGTGGTGGTAACCTAATATTAGAAGTTAGTAATTAGAGTAGTAGCAATATTTGTGGTAATAGTAGCAGTATTAGTACTAGTAGTAATAGTACTATTAATGTTATAGTACTAGTAGCATTTGACGGCAACTGTGGTAGTAATGATAATAGTAGTAACAGTAGTAAAAGCACTATTAGTAGCTGTGGTACAGTAATAATACAAGTGGTAAAAGCAATAGTAATAAGAGTAGTATTGGAAATAATAGTAAAAGTAACAATAATAATAGGAGCTGTACTAGTAGGGGTAGCAGTGTTAGTAGTTGAAGTAATAGCAGTAGGTATAATAGTGGCCATAACTATAGTAGTGGTATCGGTAGCAGTAAACTAGTGTTAGAAATAGCTGAAACAGCAAGTCTATTATTAGCAATAGCAGTGGCAATAATAGGAGCAGAAATAGTAATAGTAGCAGTAGTAACATGGTCAGTACTCAGCAGTGGGTCCAAAGTTTCACTACACACTTTATAAGCTAAGAATAACTCAGTCAGTCTGCGCTGTAATAGTCCATGTATTTTCTATGTAGTAAGCCTGGGAATTTAAGGGGTTAATGGCATTAGAAGTAGCAGTGTTAATGGCAACTGTAGCAGTAATGAAAACAGTAGTAGTTAAAATATTATTAGTAGCAGTTGTAATGCTGTAATAGTACAGATTATAGTAGTATTGGGAGCAATAGTAAAGTTATGGTAATGTTTAGAATAGAAACAAATAGTAAGAATACTAATGGTAGTGGTAGAGTTTAGCAACAGTGAGAATAGTAGCAGTAGATATAATTGTAGTAGTAGCTGTAGTGCTGGTAGTAGTAGACAAGTATTAGAAGTACTTGGAGTAGTAATAGTGATAGTAGCAATAGTAGTGGTAATAGTAGAAGAATTACATGTAGTAGTAGCAATGTTAGAGACAATAGTAATAATAGCAATAGTAAAAATACTATTAGCAGTAGCAGTGGAACTGTTATAACAGCAATGTTAGAAGTAGCAGTATAAACAATAGTAGTAACAGTAGTAGTATAGAAAGAGTAGCAGTCATAACAGTGTTAGACCAGTAGTAGTAGGCTATTAGGATTAATAGCAGTGGTCATAGTAATATTACTGGTATGCATATATAAAACAGTACCAGTAAAACTAATTTTATGCATCACTTGTGCTGGTAATAATAGCAGTAGTGTAAGTAATAGTAGAACTATTGTAGTGGTAGTGGTAGTGGTGGTGGTAACAGTAATAGTATATGACTCAAAGATTTATATGTGCATAAAGATGCATGTGTGGGTGAAAGTCCATGTTTATGCATGCTTTGTCAGTGTATTTGTGCGCGTCTAGAGAGCTGCAAGCAGGACAGGGGACTTCCTCGGCCATTATTGCGTTTATTAAACCCAAATCCTGTCTTTGTTTCCCTTGGAAATGGTACCGCAGGCTGTGTTGCACTGTGCTGAAAGAGCAGTCCTGTGCCGGATGGGGATCTGCTTCCAGCCCCAGTCCTTCTCTCCCTCACTTTCACCCACTGTTATTATTCAATGGGAACACACTGAAGGGCCAACAGGGCCTTCTAGCCCCTCAGTCTCCTTCCATGGTACACAGTGGCCCCTGAACACTCAGCATTGTTAGCGGAGCCAGCCGTTGATGTGTAATCCCCTCTTGGGTATTCAGTAAAAACGTTTTACGGGCGAGAGAGGGATATGATGTGAGCTTATGAGGAATCTGCAGGGGGAGAAGTCTGTAAAACGGGCCCGGCCCTCGTTCAGGATTGTTTTTTCCCTGTTTCTGTCTTGCTGGTGATTGACAGGATAATTTCCTCCTCTTGTTGAGTTGTGTGTCGGGGCTGGCAGGCAGGTCGGTGAAAATCCAGGACCACACCGAATGACTGAATTAAGGTATTCCACCCTCATACCCCTGCAATGAACCACAGCTTTCAAAGAAAGAGTGTAAAGAGTGTGAAGAATGGGTCTGCACTTCTCTTTTTGTAGCATAAGATCGTCAGAAAAACATTTTTCCTGAGATAAATTAAACTGTGCTGTGGAAAAGAGAAGATGGAGCCACTAAATGGTTTTTTCTCTTACCGCAAATGTGGTCAGTCAGCAAAGGCATGTTTGGTGTCTGAAGTTTAGCTTTGCACTGGAGCTACAAGGCTAATGTAGCTAACAAGCTAACAGGTAGTAGAGGATTATACCGTATTAGGAATTAGCACTGTGCAGCTTACATGCCTAAATTTTTAAACTACGTCATGTTAAGTAATCTCAAACAGATGAGCTTGTTTCTGTCACTACATAACAAACTGTTA